TGCCTAAGATACACAAGCCTGACGTACCGCTGCGGCCGATTGTAAGTCAAATTGCTTCTCCTACTTACGATCTAGCAAAGCACGTTGCTTCAGTATTGCAACCACTTATAGGCAAAACACCGTCTTTTGTGAAAGACTCACGGCACTTCATACAAATCATAAAAGATCTGACGTTGGAACCGGATGACGTCATGGTGAGCTTTGACGTGGAGTCGCTTTTCACCAATGTTCCAATAAAGGAGTGCCTAAACGTCGTAAAAGACCTACTGAGAGACAACGAGCTGCCCTTAAACTATATGGATCTACTTGAACACTGTTTAGAAGGCAACTATTTCCTTTTCCAAGGTCAACATTACCTCCAGATTGATGGTGTCGCGATGGGAAGTCCTGTAGCCCCAGTACTGGCCAACATCTGGATGGAACATTTTGAAGAGAAGGCTTTAAATCTCGGCCCGAATACCGTTAAGCTATGGAAGCGATACGTGGATGACATTTTCAGTATCGTCAAAGGAAACAAACAAGAAGTGGATCAATATATACAACATCTGAACTCTATTCACCCCAAAATGAGGTTTACATATGAAATGGAGACGGACAGGTCGTTGTCTTTCTTAGATGTTAAAGTAGCCGTGAGATCGGATGGGTCCTTGTCACACTGTGTGTACCGTAAACCTACTCATACGGACAGATACCTACACGCCACGTCTCATCATCACCCCCGGCACTTGCAATCTGTTATGACTTCACTCAAAAACAGAGCTTACGATCTCTGTGACCCTGAACATTTAGAACAGGAGCTAAAACATGTTCAGGAGGTACTCAAAGGTAACGGATATCAAGTGAAAGGAGGACGGAAGCAACCGAAAATAAGACGCAAGTATCCAGAAGTGAACAGGCAACCGGCCTATATGCCTTATGTCAAGGGAGTTACGGACAAGATCGGGTCTGTACTAAAGAAATATTCCATTCCGACAGTATACACACCAGGCATAAAGGTTCACAACATCGTCGGCACACCGAAGGATACATTGCCACTACAAACTCCGGGTGTTTATAAAATAGACTGCAGCTGCGGAAGCTCATACATAGGCCAAACTAAGCGGACTATTGCAGAAAGGGTCAAAGAGCATATCGCTGCTGTGAAGAACCGACAGACGAGCAAATCAGCGATTGCAGAACATGCACTCGATGCAGGCATCAACCACTGGATTGAATTTCACCGCACGCAAGTCCTCTCCACCGAACGTCACTTTTACTCAAGAGTTGTACGTGAAGCGATTGAGATTAAAAAGCATAAAACTTTCAATCGGGAAGATGGTTTTAAATTATCTACAGCGTGGAATCCAGTGTTAAAAAACATACCACCTCGCTTTTCTGCGCAATCGGTTAAACACCAGAATAGGGACTCATCGGTTTGCTTACAGAATAGGGACACTGTTAGTGTGGTATGTGACGGTACATGGCGACACAAAAATAATATCGAAAATGTGCGGGTAGATGAAGAGCCTTTTATTTAAATTGTCTAGTAACCATAGTACAAGCTCTGCTTAGTTTGGGACTAGATGGCGTTGTGTGAATGTGGTAGAATATTATTATTATTATATATTTTGATTTTGTTAATCTCCCTGAAAGGGGTATAATTATCTAATTTCACGGGCCATAGCCAAGTGTAATCAGTATAATTTCTGATTATCACTTTTTTCATTGCATTACTCATAACAGTAATTTGTAGATCACACAAAATGTTGTCCCATGCAAGGTAGTGGTAGGAAGTAGAAAGCGGAGAGGTGACCGCTTAAACTACTACGCCATCCGTGCACTTTAAGTTTATAATACCATTAAGTCAACACTCATTATATAACCATTATTTGAACTCGATAAGTTCAAACATTAAAAGGAATGGCAAGTAAAATTATACTCGTATAATGAAACAAAATGCTTGAGATTAAAACGCTTATATCCGCAGGCCATAAAGCTAAATATACATGACAGGTAAGTTGACATTGTAGCGAAATGTGAACAAGGTTTTTTAATATTAATAAAATATTAAAGTTATTTCAGTTTAGGCGTAGAGACAACAACGAATTTGTTGCACGCTGGCTTGCTTACAATACAACTCATAGTGGTCTTTGCTGCAGAAAATCAATTTGTCAACACTTCTAAATTCCAATATTTTCATCATCGGAGAACTGGGATACCTCGCACAAGATATTAATAAGATAGTCATGATAGAAAATGTTACAAGTTCAGATTTAAAAATCCAACAACATCACCCTTATAGTATTAAGTCGTTAAACATTAAAACATTTAACAAAACAAAACTACGCCGAGTGTTGTGGGTTCAAACCCCACATGGGACGACACTTTGTGTGATCCACAAATTGTTGTTCACAGTCTGGGTGTTCTTTGTGTCCGTTTCATGTATGTTCCGTGTTCCTTAAGTCCCCCGCGACACAGGATTTATTCCTAATGCGGGAGTTGTCTTTTTTAAAACAAAAAAAAAAAAAAAATATATTATAGTCAAACGCAAATCTTATTACTCAATTCGTACCAGGTTTTTGGCAAAAATGGATGTTCCTCAGATTTATTTAAAACAATCGAGTCCCTCGGCATCCATAACTCTTCCACCTTGCAGTACATATACCTACTTTGAAAATTGATACGTATTTTTCTCTTAACACCTGAACCCCTTTTTAACAGGCCTTCCTCTTTTCACCGTTGAGATTTTATACACTAACTTTACTCATTTCTGTAAATTTATATTTTATCAATGTTTTTTAGCAAATGTTTCCTTAAGATTTTAGGCGTAAGAGATAGCCCTGTATACATCGTCGTTTATGCGATGAAATTAAAATCAACTTGTATAAACAGAGATATCTCTCAGTTCCTGGAAAGGAAATAGATAAGAAAAATCACAATGTTTATCTAGTGAAGCATATACTCGTAATTACTTAATTTCTTATTTTACTTTTATTTTGTTTTATTTACTCGAACCAATAATAGTCAAACCGCCGTAAGCTTGGCCCTCCCGATGGTTTGCGGGACGCAGGGCGGGGGTACGCTCAACCAATTAGCTAGTGTGTCGCTGTCCGCTGGCAGTGACTGACGTGAAAGAATGGCTGTACGTGTTATTTTTTTTAAGACTGCTACACACGGTATTAATTTGTAACATGCATAATCTGTCGACTCTGCGTTACAAATGATTCATGAACATTTGAATTAATCTTCATTTTTTTAATAAATGTTTCCTTTTGTTTTCCATTTTAATAAATTACTTGAGTAATATACAGTAGAAGTTGTTGATTGCCTTTGTGGTGTACGGAGTATCACCACCCCTTTTCATCCCGTGGGTATCATAGGCCAATAAGAGAGCAAACTATGCAGGAAAACAGCACTGCAAGAGCAATAAACTTGAAACAAAACCTATACAAAGCCTAAAAACTAGGCCTACCAATAACTAAGTAGGTGCTCTGTTAACAATATTCGAATATTTCCTTACAAAATCTTTACTACTTTCTTACTAAACCTCTATAACTCAAATTATTAGGCCTCTCCCTTGAAGTTCGGCTCACAGAGGTTCTACTGTTTAAAATTCTTATAAAGAATATTTATTGTGTTACTTCATTATTAAATTCTATCTGAATATCATTTATATTTACAAAATTTTACAATTAATCATAAAATCTTACAATATACTGCAATTATTATACATAAGAATAAATTATATTTTTATTACATCGTGTGTAGATTAAATCTCTAACAAATAATTCTGAAGATATCGAGTTAGTACATCGTGTTGTGTATAGCCCGCCCCGCGTCCCGCAAAGCATCGGGAGGGCCATGCTTACGGCGGTTTGACTATAGTTGTATAGATATTCTATAGGTATCATCGACAAATCTAGAATAACAAAACAATTTTGAAGTTGACACGCTGCTATAGGTACAGAACATAAAATTATTCTAGCATACATACACATTATGGTAATGATAAAGGGAAAATTATTTGTGCCGACTGACTACGAAATTAGTACCTCCAAATAGTATTTGGGAAACACTCCAATATACTACCTACAACACTATAAGTAATGCTATTAAAGGAACAAAACAAAGAATTTTGTTGAACAATTCCCGCCGTAACTGTAACTCCTTTATGCGAGGATCAACAGCGGTGACGAACGAACACATCGAGTTATGACAATCGGAAAGTCTCAGGAAAAATTAAATTGTCTAGGAACCCCGCAATTAATCAGAAGAAAATTAGAGGAGTTGTAAATATTTACTATATTTCTACTTCCCACCTTAGCAAAGCGGGAGAAAAAATGAAGTTAAAAAGGCATACACCCTTTTGAACACAGAAGCGCCACGGATACAAAAAGAAAACAAATATTTTGAAATCACAACACAATTATACGAGGTTCGATGATCCTAACACAATACACAGAAAGAGGAGGATATAAACATAGTGTCTCATCCCGAACAGTATCTTCGGTATCCCCTTATTAATCATATCTGAAACATTTTATTTTACATACGTATATATTGTCATTATACGATATCGCGTGATTTTATGTACGACGCAACGCGACGTGGCGATCCATTTATCCCATAGATGGCTATGCTATACAAAAGGATTTACCCTTTATGAAAAGAGCTTTATAAATCGAATTACCACATGTATGAAATTTCAATATATTTTATGTTATTAATTGCCTGCAATGTCTTATGGTTCATACTCTTCGGCCAAAGTTAGTAACGCTTCATTAACACGCAAGAAAATGACAGGAGTAGAATATGTTGACACGTTTATTTGCATGCACAATTTTCAAGAAATGAGACGAGTTTTCGGAGTGGCAAGACATAAACACGTTAATTAGATGAATATTCTACCTAACTTACTCTCAGAATAACTGTAACAATAAAAGATAATGATGAACAGGGAGCAAGTTGATAAGTAAACATATCGTGAGGTTATCTCAGAAAATTCTTATAACTGCATATTTATGCTTCTCAATCTTAATACACAGGTTAGCTATCGACCACATCGCACGAACTCATCAAAACTCAAGTAAGTTGAAATAAATAGTCATAAATAGTTTTTAACACTGTTACAGTTTTATACGATAAAAACACTTAATAATATTATTAAACAACTTCCATTCAGTGTTGTTCAACCATCTTAAATAGATTTAGATTATAAGTAGAATCGTATTCCTAATTTGTGCTAGTGTCCTAGCATAGTGTCCTAGTTTGAACAAATAAACGTGGCGCGTCAAGATATTGACGTTTGCAAGAATGACATTAAAGGGGTATGCAAGCGTTACTTCACAGGTAGTTTAATTCGAGATGATTTTCACTATCTATCAAATACGAGTATTTTTATGGTGACTTTTCTTAGAGTAGGAAGTATATTTTTTATAAATAAAAACCATAAAATCACGAGATGTAAATGCTCATCGCAATTGTATAGAATTCTTATTTTTGTCCCTTTCTGTTTTGAGTTATGAAAAAATGTGGTAAAAAGCGACGGTCTTAAAACAATTAAGATACTTTGAAATAATAGAGATAAAACTTGGAAAATTGTAGTAAAATGGATTTCTCCGTCAGCGTCGTAGTTTTCCAATATGGCAGACGTTGTATCGATTTTAGCTCAAGTTACAGCTAAAGACAGACCGTAAACTGCAAGCGTCCCTACTAGTTTTTTTTAAATATATATGAAAATTATTTCGAATCTTTATTATATTTAGTCATTGAGCACTAAACTGAATGATAGTGAAAATATTTAGCAGCTTTTCTCAGAACTTTATTTATGTTTTCGTATTTATTTATGACTTCATGCACAAATATATACATCGGAGGACTTAATGGCCTTAGACATTCTCTGCCAATCGAACGATGGGGCGATGCAAAGAAAGAATAAGGTAGGTGCACTTATGGGGATAAATTATAGAATCCTCATTCAGTGCCTACTATTTGTCCTTCGAATAGATAAATATACGAAGTAATAATACATATCCCGTATTTCTAACCTTGAAAATGACAAACTGCCATACAGCTGTTCACTCCCTATTTTACCCGCTTAAGGCGAAATTCCGTGTGGGATTAAGAACACAGAGTGTCATAAGAGTGTGTGGATGTCATATGAGCCGACTAAGGCAGAAAATTACCTAGGACAACAGCACTGCAACAAGAAGGCAAACTTGAAACAAACCCTATACCCACCCGTCTGGCCAGCGTGGTATAGTATGCCAAAACCTATTGATCTATTAAAGGCTGTTGATGGTAATGGTGATGAGGTATAACTTAACCAAATACTTTCTTAGTGGGTGCTCACAATATAAAAAACATCAGCTGCCAAAATTTTAAATTTGTAACCTCAGCGGTTTGAGCTCCGCGATGATGAATTAGTTAATTACATTTTTAATTTAAAAAAAGTCAGTCTGCGCAAATAATTGTATATGTATTGATAACTACGCACAATTTTTCTTTTCAACTTTCCGAGTTTATTTAAATCAGTTTACACCTATGAACAAGATGGTAGAAGCTATAGAAGACCGTTAATATGCTGCTCTGTGCCTGTTAATAATTGTGTAAATATTATTTAAATACTGCTCTTACTTTTTGGCAAGGAATCAGAAATGCAATCGAATTTAACTACTGAATTTAACTACGTATTGTTTATTTAAAAATAAAATTTCTCATTCCAAACGAGACTCTGTATTCACTTTTTAATCAAAAAAAATGTTTACTTGACAATAAATAGATATATTAAAACTTTTTTGTAAATGTTTTTCAAGACTTATCTATCATATTATTGAAATATCTAATTATCTTACATAAAACAATGTATTTTACCACTATATTTTTTGTCATTACATCTACATATCGTCATACTTTAAGATGTGTGTGTCTGTGTGTGTTAATACAATAGTGAATTAAATACAGCTCCGATATCCGAAATACAGCTATCAGTGATTTAATAGTTTAGAATTCTTGGCTAGAAAACTTTCTCCCGATGTTGCAAAAGGCAAACGTTAACCAATCTTCTATTTGCTGCGTCGTAATGATTACAGTTTCCGCATTAATATTATATTACGTTGTTCTGAGTGAAAACTTAAGCCATAATTGCCTTGCCACTATATATTATATATATTAAATGTCCACTATATATTATAAATGTCCACTATATATTCCCCTACATCAACTTTTTTCCGTGCGGATATCCCCTCGGAACCCCCCTCCCCCCCGGACGACCGATGGGATTTTTATTTATTTCGGTCTCGCTATCTCTAATAGCAATACGCGGTGAAGCGGGTGAAACCTAGCAAGGAATTCCCTGATGGATGGACCTAACCTATTCGTCATCCCGGCGACTACGCGTAACACTGAAGTTTCCACACTGGAAAATAAGTGTTGTAGCCGGTTATCCTTATTATAATGTAAATCAGTGTAACAAAATTATAATGAATAGATTGAAAAATAAATGTTGTATTTAATATTTGTAATTTCATTCCATTACAGATATTAATTACAAAATTTAGTTTCTTATTCTTATTTCCTATAACATATTTGTTATACTTTCCATCTACTTCTACATAATTAACAGATGATGTGATTGAAAATATCTATTTACCGTAATCTTTTCTCTTAACGTTCATTCCCAATATGATCACGAATTATCGTCTTTCAATACAAACGTGGGAAAAGCTCGGAATTGTTTTTAGTTCAACGGGAATTATTTTGCGGTTTAGCCCGACCCAAATGTATCAATTGTTATTCAGTTTATTACAAATTGAAAACGAATACGGGTATTCGTTTAAGTTTCATGCAGAATTTTTATATAATTTAATTAGATAACCCGAACTTTTTACAACAAAAAAATACTATCGGTGTGATATGAGACAACGGTTGGTGAGATAATATTAATTTCACTTTGCGTAACCGGTCACAGCCTTGTTGCTACCGATATGTTCGTAGTCTGAGTTTTACTTTTTGTTACCACAAATTCTGTCAGAAATTATGACCATTAAATCGATTGCCGATACGCGCGCTTGTCGACTGCAATAAATCAATTATTTTTCGTTCGTTTTTATATATTAGAGAAAGCTATTACTTAAAGAGTACTCGATAAGTAAAATAAAGAAATTAAACTTGTTGTTGCAGTTCAAAACAACATATTAAGAAAAGTAGTCTTTTATAGCTTTTCAATATTTATTTAATGACACTACACTAACAAAACAATACAACAAATGAAATTAGTAAAAAATAAAAGTGAAATAGTTGCATTGATATATAAAGGAAGATATAAAGAAAGATAATGTTGATATAGCTGTAAAATGTTGATAGTGCTAGCTATATGTTGATGTACCAAAAGCTAAAAATAGTCACCAGTTACCATACCAATCTCGTCATCAAACTAGGGTATTGATTGGACTCAAAAATAGAATCGTAGCATGCGTGAATTTTCTATCAACAGTCAACTACTCATATCAAAATATAAATGTTAATTATGTGTGGTGACAGTTTAAGAACAGTCACCACTCCTATTCATCCCATGGGTAACAACTCCAAGGCAACGGCAAAGGAAAACCCTATACCAACCCGTCTGACCAGCGTGGTATAGCAGGACAAAACCTCCTTTCTAAGGAGAGGCCTATGTCCAGCAGTGGACTATAAAAGGCTGTTGATGTGATGTACATATTTATTAAGGATAAGTTAAACCTTTCTTCATTTCTTAAATAAATTACTTTGCAGCTTGTAGTGTGCTATATTTAATTAGGCTTTTAAAATGATAAAACGTTTTTCTTCTGAGATTATGTTGTCAAACAACGACTAAGTTTGACCACCAATCACAGATGATTTTTGGAACTACCATCTATATGCTATGCTATAAGGTACTACTACTTTTAAACTGTGAAAAAAGCGGAAAGTGCATTTTACTTCACTTTTATTTTAACTTTTTTAGCTACACATTTTACACCAGAACATTTTTTTTGACCTTTCTAGTTCGGTTTCTTTATTAAGTATATCGGTCCTTGATTTGTGCAAATTATGAAGTTAATTAGACTTATTGAAATTGGTGAAAACTACATTGTAAGATTCTTCTGTTTATATTCAGATCAACCTAGCCAATCGTGAAAATATTAAAAGTTTCCATAATTTTATTTTTTAATTTTTCCAGAATGAAAGTAACCTTGATCTTCTTGGTATTCGCGTGCGCCATGACTGTGGTCTATGGTGATCTTGTCTGTGGCAGTAACTACTGCAAACAAAACCCATGTACATCCCCCATAGCGAAGTCAAGCTGCCGCGTGCCATCCACGTACCGCGCCAACCACGCCGGCAAGTGCGCCTGCTGTCCTGCTTGTGTCACATTCCTTAGTAAGTTCTATGCATACCTGTACTTACAAAAGTATATTATATTCGGCCTGTGTAAATATGCGAATAAAATAGATTAAGTTCATTTTTAAGAATACCGTTTTTAAATATTTTATATAAAACTTTACCTAACTTTGAATAATGACTATTGTAGTCGCGATGTTCGCAAAGAAAAAGAAATCCTGGGACGGTACGCGAGTTTTAACTACCTAATAGAAATAGCTTTTTTATAACAAGTTATAAAAATTTCAAATAGTTGAAATTAGTTGGAATAGTTAGTTTATAAACGCAACTTCTTCAATTGCTTTCATTCAATTTGTTGTAGCCGTGAAAGAGTAGACTAGAGCAATTAACAAGTCTCCATTCAAACACAGATTAAACAACGTCACATAGTTTGAAATAAAATAGTAAATTGTTAAGTTACTTGTTCATTTTGCTGTGACCGCTACTGAATAATTATTAACCGATGTGCGGCATATGACCACAGCCGACTAATTCTCAAATGGATGGGCAATATTGGCAGACTGAACTGCGGTCATTGCTCTTTGTAGTCGACAACGCCTGATACAGGACTTGCAATAAACGCTTGATACGATGATACAGAAAGCCCATTGTACATTAAGCTATGTGTACAAAAACCAAATGCACACTAATACTCCACACTGTACTGTAGTGTAACAGAAATCTTATTTTCCTTGCATTATTTCTTGTATTTATTTAAGAATTTTATATTATGTCACAGTTTAGTCTTTGAGTACTCTCAAAGCAGATCTTAATAAAACTTTAGTATTTTTGTATTTACATATACATATATAAAAAATGTTAAATACCTGTGTATTTAACACATTGGGACAAGATTACTAAGGTTTCAGTGTTAACATTTATTATAAGTACACATTTAGTTGCAGACTTCTACAGTTCTCATAAAGTTTCAAAATACGAGACGACAGTAGAAAATCAAATATTAATAACAACAAATTATTTACAATTATAATTATATCATTTACAATTATGACAAATTATGTTTTCTTTCTTTCTCTTCTTCTATCGCATGATATCAATCATCAATCATCATCATCAACAGTCTATAACAGTCCACTGCTGGACATAGGCCTCTCCTTAGAAAGTAGGTTTTGGCCTACTATACCACGCTGGCCAGACGTGTTGATATAGGGTTGGTTACAAGTTTTCCTTCTCTTTGCAGTGTTGTTGTCCTGCGTAGTTTGCTCCCTTTGTCGGCTCTTACGACACCCACGGGATGAATAGGGGTGGTGACATTCCGTATTCTTAATCCGTCACCACGCGGACTGATATCAATGCTTCATAAGTATTCAAAGTTAAAAAGTTAAACTCAAGCCTAAAACTTTTTGCTGCAACAATCACAACGTAAATTTTGGTCGAAAGCGTGCTCGTATTGAGTATTGATAACTTAACTATAAAACGTTCAATGCAACATAAAGAGTTACTTTCTCTTCTACTCACAAAAAAAATAGCAGTATTAGCCTAAAACCTCGGAATCAGCGTTAAGTTAGAATTTTTTTTCTATAAGAAATCTCTAATGTAAAGCCCCCATTTTTTTTATAAATTTACAGATGAAGGTGCTGCCTGCAAGACTTACAGCAAGGAATTAGGAGAAACTCCTTCAGCCATCTGCCAGGAGCCTCTGAGGTGCCTCCGTGGGGTCTGCACCAAAGCATCACCCAGGCTTGGTTAATTTAAATTGCGTTAACTTTAAAATTTTACAAGACTACCAAAATGCTAACATTCTATTTTGAGATAAATTATTTCAAATATTTAAAATCATTTTACTACTTATTGTTTTTTATTACAAAACCGACTAATTTTAATTACAAAAAAGAATTATATGTAATAATTTGTTTTTGGCGCGCTTACCACCGCCTCATGCCGCCCTGAGAGTGGCCGGCTAGGCCATAACGGCCAGCCGCGAGGAGGCGACGTCAGCGTGCGCCAGACGTCGCTTAAATGAGAATGTACCCAAGGATGGTGGGGTGTACGCTAGGAGGTATCCGGATGTCTTAATAATAGCAGTTCCCGGATCAAAGTGGCACATCATGTGGTTTTGGTCGGTCCGATTCTGACACACCACCTCGACGCAAACCCCGGTGCGTTGACGGCCCGAGGGGGTGTTCACACTCAAAAAAAGGGTTCTCGCCACGTCCGCCTGTGTCGGACGCCTAAATAGACAATATACCCGGACGTGGTGCCCGCGCTATTACGTCAGGCGCTAGGAGGGTTCTGGATGTCGTAATGACAGCAGTTCCCGGATCCCTCCTATTTTGGGCGCAGAGTGCCACACACTTAAAACGCCTTTCACACGTAAAAAACGGTTTGTTTCAAGATTTCCTTATCTTTGCCGTGCTGTTCTCCTTCGTAGTTTTCTCCCTTAGTCGGCTCTTACGACACCCATGGGATGAATGGCGGTGGTAAAACTCTGTATTCCTAGACATATCTTAATTAAAAACATCCATAAAAAATGTTATCATATGTTTACCGTAAACACCTGCATTAGTTATCTATATGTACAATAGATTGTCAAAGATAATATACGAGTATGTACTCTGGGACGCGTGTAAAATTATCTAAACTACCTGTTACATCCGCGTTACCTATAGCTAGAGGAATATTATCATTAACCTCGTGGATTAAAGAAAATATCAGTTTCTAATCGGTTCGGATAAATATTTTTTTTTTTGGCTTTGAAATTCGAATAGTAACTTCAATATGGATTTTATCTTAAAGTTCTGTTCAGCAGTATCTAAAGGTATCTAGTATAAAAAAAAAAAAAAAAAAAAAAAAAAAAAAAAAAAAAAAAAAAAAGGGGCCTCGCCGAATATTCGGTATTCGGTATACTGCCGAATATACTATTCGTTGCAAGTCTAATATATATATGTATATGATATAATACTCACGTACACGTACTACATACGTCACTCATAATTAAAATAAAACTAACTCAAACAGTATATCCCAGTTCATCTCGAGCTATGCGCTGTGTTTTGTAGTATATATGTATATATATATGTATATGATATTTATATATATATATTTAAATATCATCAAGGATAGGGAGGATAGGGAGCAATTAATCGATCTAGCTAGGTTTTGCCAAAAATTTGCCATTATTTCGCACACTTTATCAAAAGAACGACTGATGAAATATAAAGTTGAAAATTCGATTCTTCAGTCAATAACCATATGTTACTGTTTTGCTTACATGTATACAGATGACAAACGATTTACATCAATAAAATTAGCTTATTTCTGGTATTTTTTTAATTTTAAAGCAAACGAGCAGACAGGTAACCGGCGGTAACCTTACTCACTCAATGAAAAACAACGAAAAATTGCCTAGCAGTGGTTTCTGTGAGGCCGTGAAATCACTTCCGTCGAACCGGCCAATATGTGTCGAAGTCCCACGGCAAGTCTTACTCTCCCAGACTACCAACACAATTTTTTTAATTATCTTTCATCAACAGCCTATGATAGTCCACTGCTGGATATAGGCCTAGGGTTTGTTTCAAATTTTCCTTCTTTTTGCAGCTGCTGTCCTGTGCAGTTTGTTCCCTTAGTCGGCTTTTACGACACCCACGGGATGAATAGGGGTGGTGACATTCCGTATTCTTAATCCGTCACCACACGGATATTCTTACATCTTACATATGATTATCTTTACATCTTATATAAATACATTTCTCGTTACGATAACCATTTTTATTTTAATGAAAGAATATTATAGAACGTTGTAACCTCGCATTACATTGATTGATAAATGTTATTTAATAATACGATATTCAATAACTAAGTGCTTTGCACTCTTCAGGAGCTGTAAGCATTCGAAATGCTTATTATCAACTATTTACCCGTTCCCTATTAATAGAGACTTTCAAAGTGATTGCAATCTCTATACTTCCAAATACATCTAATATTGATTAATGATGTCTGTCAATCTGCACAAATAAATAGTACTAGCGACCTTGTAAGGAATAACTTCGTGCACTATTATTTATTATCTTTATTATAGCAATTTAAGTGAAATAAACTAAGTTACAAATTTGCTATTTCTTAATGAAAAAGAACTCCTAAGAACATTTAATTGGTTAATTATAAGTTATCAGACATAGCTCTTTTTAAGGCAAAGACTAACTGCGAAAAAGTTCCTGGGTTTATTTTTTCAAGATTTGTGTAACATTAAAAAAGGCGAACAACCCTATACTATTAACGAGTGGGCTCTTCAAAAGTAGGTAGCGGTAAGATGTACCGTATTTTATGGCAGACAGTACAATCTTGAGATTTAACTAATAAAAAAATAGCAAAACATCATTAAAAACTGAAACTTATGTCACAGTGCCTACAAAACCGACCTGAAATATATATATGCCCAAAAGCATAATGGTACTGATGTATTAGCAGTCAATTTAAACGGGATTACGAGTCAGATGAGAACATTTAACCGGACGGAAATTCATTTCGTATTCGATACATCCGAAGCTACCTTTTTGAATCCTTTTATCCGAAAATTCAATATAATATGAGAATATCTGGTACAATGTTAAAACAGTATGTATACAATATTATAGATTATTAACGGATATAAGCAGACACTATGTGTACGTGTACACACAATGTGTACTTTTGCACATTGGTTTTAGTTATCTCGCTCACAGGTACTGCAGAGCTGCTCTGGGACGTCATGGAAATGGCTAAGTGACATACAGCTTCTACCTGAATATTAAGCATAAATGTTATGCCGGGTGCAAAATTAAATTAAAATCTTTTATTTAAATCTTTATAAAGAGTTTATTTTTAATTTTTGGTAGTTTAGCTGCCTATGTATTAATGCAAAATATGTCTATTTGGTAGCTAAACGAATCCGTTTAGTCATGGTCCTGAGTTTCTGTCTATACAGTTCAAGTTAGTTAATATAAACTTTTTTCGTTTGTGTTCTTTTGTCTGCCGTGGTATGTGCAAATCTAACCAACGAACCATAGATTGCACAAAATTTCAATAATAATAATAACTTTCCAAATCTCCCTATCTGATTCCAAACTAGGCAGTAAATAGGTATATAAATTTTATCTATAATTATGTTTTTGAATCATTTTGGGCGAGACGCTAGGATCATAGGGTATAAAGAACTTACTGCGAGGCGCCAGGTCTACTGGCGGTCGCCGGAGATCGCACGGCTGCGTCAAGCCTGCGTCGGCGTCGCAGAACGACCTCCGTCCTCCATAATCGCAGGCTTGGGGGTGACAGGTGAAGCCATCTGTCACTCTAGCAGAAGCAGGCCGGGCCGCGTTGCGAAGCGCGCTCGCTTCCAGGGAGCAGAGGGAACATGGGGTTCCCACTCGGGGGGGTCGTCTACTCGTCTGTAGATGGCCCGAGGTATGTCGGGGCACCAGGGACTTCCTTTCTAGGGTTTACCTGGTACCCGAGACGGCGTGCGGTTTTAGTCGGTTCGAGTCCGACATGCCAGCGATAGGTGGTATCCGAGGGAATCCCCCGCACGGAAAAAAAAGGGTATAAAGAACTATCTGGGACTGATCAATACTTCTCGTGATCAGAAGGCGGGCTTTTCTCTAGTACAGAGTTTTCCTGAATTATCATCGCCATTTAACATGGTAATGCTGTCAGCCTTCTGGGCGCACTAATTTGACGCATGTGTATAAATAGATAGAATCTCATTCCGTTATTTATTGTAATGTTATTTTTTAATGTTAGGTACTAATAAACCCAAAATAAACGCCCAAAATAAACGAAAGTTAGTAGATGTACCAATAGTTTTAAGATTTCAATTAAAATTACATTACTATGTAAAGTAAATAATATGACAAAAGTTATTTAAAAGTTTACTCATTGCTAACCAAAGCAACATTTTTGATAGATAGTATTTTATGTCATTATAAACATATGCAAAACTTAAAAACTGTTCTGTTACACTTTTTACTTAAAGAAAACAATATTAAAACGAAATACTAAAATATGTGTCCGTCAGTACTTAATTGGGCCTTAGCTATATACATCTACGTATATATCAGACTGATGCAATATGTCAAGCTTTAAGTTCCAAAAATTTAATGATACAACCATATAACGGCCTTATGTTTATGTAATATATTAGAATGCCTTACATGACCTGATACTTTTAAAACTACCCTCTCCTAGCACTTTTCTTTGTTTCCATTTTATAATTATAAGCAACAACAGTGAAAGGAGAATATTCGCTATTGATAGGGTTCTAACTTGTCGTCAGCAACTGTTCTCTTGGTTTGATAATTTAATCATTAGGCCTATAAGGCTATAAGTATTACTATATAATACTGATTTTAATCACGTTGTAATTCGAATTAATCGCGACGGTCAGTGCAGAAGTGTTTTGGTCATTACTACGTTGGATACGCTTTGTTCCTGATCAAGCAATCATCAAAGGTATTTATATATTCAATGTTAGAGAGAATTTAGATACTTACCATTAAATAAATAAGTAACAAGTTGTAGACATACAGAAATGTACAACATTTGTTTCAAGTCTTATATTATAAATTTTAGGTATATATATAAATGTTAGGTTGGTTATTGTACGCTTTAAAAACTCGAAAAGTTCAGCAACGATTGAATTCAAATTTCGACACGATATGCAAACCGTTTAAAGGACTGTTTTTAATTATTTTTTGTATCAGCACTGTTCCATATTGCTTATCAATTTAATCACAATGTGCCACAGTAAAGCATGGCAGAGTACAGCTGGTTATAAATAAAAGGAGATTCGAAAACTTTCGACGATATGTATAGAGGAATATCGCCAAATCCCAGCATTGTTTACGTAACTTTTCCACTACGTTCAATATGTTAACTTCTTAATAAATAACTATAGTAGACTGTGGATAGGATAATAATTCTATTCAAGATGTATCTGACAAGGATCGCTTATAGTACTTGTCTAGGAATATACGATGTAATTGGTACGTACCAGATGCCATGAGTTCTTGCCAAACATATTATGTAACGAATACTAAGTATGATACGAAAAAGGTTTTTATGTTTCGTAAATTGAACGGAAATATTTTAGCTTACGCTTAGGCATTTATTTATAGAGCTATGTTTACGAACTACTTACTAAGTTATAAGAATTACGCAAATTATTATAACTACGCAAATTAATAATTAACTAAATAACATGACAGTGTTATTATTAATTTCATTAGTTTTTAAGACACATTACACTGATTAATATGGTATATAATAGAGAAAAAAGCACAAGTTTACTGGCACTTGTATCATCATCACCAAGAGCCTTTACTAGTCCCCTGCTGGACATAGGCCTCTCCTTAGAAAGGAGGTTTTGGCTTACTACACCACGCTGGCCAGAAGGGTTGGTATAGGGTTTTGTAAGTTTTTCTTCTCTTTGCTGTGCTGTTGTCCTGAGTAGTTTCCTCCATTAGTCAACAAGTAATCAAGTTGGTGACACTATATTCTTAACCCGTTACAAGAATCCGAATAAATATTTTTAAATACGTACAAATATACAATAAAATACATCCAGACTAAAAACAAATGATCGTGTTCATAACACAAGAGAGACGACCACTAAAGACTAAAACCATTGCGCAGTGCAGTGCACATTAACACCACGCTAGAATTTGTGTTATTATCATCATTTTGAAACCACGGCCTCACAGAAAAGCTAGAATTTGTGTTGTTATCATCATTTTGACACCACGGCCTCACAAAAACCGATGTTAAGTTATTTTTTCATTGCTTGACGCTTAGTGAGCGAGGTTCCATGAGCCCAAACCCTCCCCCTGATTCTGGGGCTCAAAGCAGGACAACGAACTTGTGATTCTTGAGTTCCAAGTGTCAATGGTAGTTACTTATCATCAGGTGTCCCATGTGCTTGTTTGCACCCCTATGCCATAAGAAAACGTTAATTGTGAAGTAGGTAGTATAGTCACTTATAGAAAGCAATACTTCCTTAAAGGATTAAGTAAAGACAAATGAGGAACAATTGTACCTTAACAATGAAGATTTTTTAATCGAGAATAACGCACATGCTTCTCTGTCTTAATTTTCTTCGATATATGGGGTCTACCAATAACAACGTCCTGGTTTAAAAATTGAATAAAACACACATTTTTTTATGAAAAATGCATCCGATTGATTTATTTGATAGATAATTTTATGCAATTTATGTTTTAAATAATATATCGGCCAAATGACCGCCGCGGCTCTTTTTGCAGACGGTCAATTTTCGATGACGCGGTGCACCATTTCGGCCGGTATGTCGGCTATGACTCGTCGAATGTTGGTTTTTAGGTCACGAATTGTAGCTGGATTATTGCTGTATACTTTAGATTTAACGTAACCCCAAAGAAAATAGTCTAAAGGTGTTAAATCACACGATCTTGGTGGCCAACTTATCGGTCCATTCCTCGAAATTAACGACTCACCAAACTTTCCACGCAATAATTTCATGTTCACTCGAGTAATGTCAGATAGTGCACCGTCTTGTTGAAAATAAAGGTCGTCTGCATCAATATCATCAAATTCCGGAAAGAAATATTCGGTTAACATC